TTTATTTACCCTCAAAATTATGTAATAAACTGTTAGGCAGAGGTAAGTAGTTCAATGATGGAGAGCTTGCCTAGCATGCATGAGACTCTGGGTTTGATTCTCCAGATCCAATGCAAGAAAACAGAAATCTGTAACAAATAAAAAGATTCCACCGTGAATTGCAGACTCAACCTCCCTGGGGTCTTAAAATGTGGTTATAAACATTATATAGCTCTCTCCTACTTGAGAGACCCTTGCTTCTTGCTAAACATTTGCATTGGTCATGTTTTTTGTATTGTATGTAACACATAGGTGATCATTAAGGTACACAAAGGTTTTTGCATTCCAGAACATTCCTTTAGAATAGATTCTTACAAGCAGAAGAATTGTATTCTAATCAATTCTGTTCTAATCTGTTCTCCCATTCCTTCGTTAGAGCAGCTGGTTACAAGGAGCGTAACTACTCTGTGAGCGTGAACCTTTAAGGGTCACATTATATTTGCCCAGTCACTTGGCAAAATAATTCAGGTAAGCAGAATACAAGAACACCTTGTTTACGAGCGATATTGGCCAACCAAAAAGCACGTGCTTAGAAGGAAAAGGAATGGAAGAACTTGTAAAGCATCAAGGAAGGAGTGGGGCGGGGGGGAGGCTGGGTGGTTGGCCTCACTATGCTACCCTCAAAAGCTAATGAATCACCTCTCACAATCTGACAACCACTGACCTCGAACACAGTGTGTGAAAGTGTCAAGAAGCCACACAGTGTGGTGGCTAAAAATACAGCCTCTGGGGGCCAACTGCCAAATCCTAGCTGTGCGTCTCCTACTTCCGCTCTGTAGGAACTCAGGCAAGCGGCTTTATCCCTTCTGTGCCTCAGACTTTTTGTCTGCCCAATAGGAAAGTCAGATTTGGTTATTAACTTAAATAATTGGAGAGACATACAGTTTCTGAGTCTAGCAGTTGGTAGAGGAATTAAGTAATGCAGTGTGTGTGTGTGTGTGTGTGTGTGTGTGTGTGTGTGTGTGTGCAGAAATATAGAAAACTGGCAGTCATCTAGCAAGTGCTGTCCATGTCAGCTTCCACATGCATGATCTCCATCATGGATTACTCCAGGTTCCTATCCTGAATTAAAGCTCACTTTTGGTACCAGTGATGAGGGGAAAAACTTAATAAAAGAAGAAGAAAAGCAATACCAAAGAGTTTATTTGCAGAGCTGTACAAAAGCACACATTGTCCCGGGCAGGGTGTGGAGGCTGTCCTCTGGGCAGGGTGTGGAGGCTGTCCTCTGGGCAGGGTGTGGAGGCTCTGTCCTCCAGGCAGGGTGTGGAGGCTGTCCTCTGGGCAGGGTGTGGAGGCTCTGTCCTCCAGGCAGGGTGTGGAGGCTGTCCTCTGGGCAGGGTGTGGAGGCTCTGTCCTCCAGGCAGGGTGTGGAGGCTCTGTCCTCCGGGCAGGGTGTGGAGGCTGTCCTCCGGGCAGGGTGTGGAGGCTGTCCTCCAGGCAGGGTGTGGAGGCTCTGTCCTCCGGGCAGGGTGTGGAGGCTGTCCTCCAGGCAGGGTGTGGAGGCTGTCCTCCGGGCAGGGTGTGGAGGCTGTCCTCTGGGCAGGGTGTGGAGGCTCTGTCCTCCAGGCAGGGTGTGGAGGCTCTGTCCTCCGGGCAGGGTGTGGAGGCTGTCCTCCGGGCAGGGTGTGGAGGCTGTCCTCCAGGCAGGGTGTGGAGGCTCTGTCCTCCGGGCAGGGTGTGGAGGCTGTCCTCCAGGCAGGGTGTGGAGGCTGTCCTCCGGGCAGGGTGAGGAGGCTGTCCTCCGGGCAGGATGTGGAGGCTCTGTCCTCTGGGCAGGGTGTGGAGGCTGTCCTCCGGGCAGGGTGTGGAGGCTGTCCCCAGGCAGGGTGAGGAGGCTGTCCTCCAGGCAGGGTGTGGAGGCTGTCCCCGGGCAGGGTGTGGAGGCTCTGTCCTCCGGGCAGGGTGTGGAGGCTGTCCTCCGGGCAGGGTGTGGAGGCTGTCCCCGGGCAGGGTGTGGAGGCTGTCCTCTGGGCAGGGTGTGGAGGCTGTCCTCCGGGCAGGGTGTGGAGGCTCTGTCCTCCAGGCAGGGTGTGGAGGCTGTCCTCCGGGCAGGGTGTGGAGGCTCTGTCCTCCGGGCAGGGTGTGGAGGCTCTGTCCTCTGGGCAGGGTGTGGAGGCTGTCCTCCGGGCAGGGTGTGGAGGCTGTCCTCCGGGCAGGGTGTGGAGGCTGTCCTCCGGGCAGGTTGTGGAGGCTCTGTCCTCCGGGCAGGGTGTGGAGGCTCTGTCCTCCGGGCAGGGTGTGGAGGCTCTGTCCTCCGGGCAGGGTGTGGAGGCTGTCCTCCGGGCAGGGTGTGGAGGCTGTCCTCTGGGCAGGGTGTGGAGGCTGTCCTCCGGGCAGGATGTGGAGGCTCTGTCCTCCGGGCAGGGTGTGGAGGCTGTCCTCTGGGCAGGGTGTGGAGGCTCTCCCCAGGCAGGGTGTGGAGGCTGTCCTCTGGGCAGGGTGTGGAGGCTGTCCTCTGGGCAGGGTGTGGAGGCTGTCCTCCGGGCAGGGTGTGGAGGCTCTGTCCTCTGGGCAGGGTGTGGAGGCTGTCCTCCGGGCAGGGTGTGGAGGCTCTGTCCTCCGGGCAGGGTGTGGAGGCTGTCCTCTGGGCAGGGTGTGGAGGCTGTCCTCCGGGCAGGGTGTGGAGGCTGTCCTCCGGGCAGGGTGTGGAGGCTGTCCTCCGGGCAGGGTGTGGAGGCTCTGTCCTCCGGGCAGGGTGTGGAGGCTGTCCTCCGGGCAGGGTGTGGAGGCTGTCCTCCGGGCAGGGTGTGGAGGCTGTCCTCTGGGCAGGGTGTGGAGGCTGTCCTCTGGGCAGGGTGTGGAGGCTGTCCTCTGGGCAGGGTGTGGAGGCTGTCCTCTGGGCAGGATGTGGAGGCTCTGTCCTCTGGGCAGGGTGTGGAGGCTGTCCTCTGGGCAGGGTGTGGAGGCTGTCCTCTGGGCAGGGCGTGGAGGCTGTCCTCCGGGCAGGGTGTGGAGGCTCTGTCCTCCGGGCAGGGTATGGAGGCTGTCCCCGGGCAGGGTGTGGAGGCTGTCCTCCGGGCAGGGTGTGGAGGCTGTCCTCCGGGCAGGGTGAGGAGGCTGTCCTCCGGGCAGGGTGTGGAGGCTGTCCTCTGGGCAGGGTGTGGAGGCTGTCCTCCGGGCAGGGTATGGAGGCTGTCCCCGGGCAGGGTGTGGAGGCTGTCCTCCGGGCAGGGTGTGGAGGCTCTGTCCTCCGGGCAGGGTGTGGAGGCTGTCCTCCGGGCAGGGTGTGAAGGCTGTCCTCCAGGCAGGGTGTGGAGGCTGTCCCCCTGGCAGGGTGTGGAGGCTCTGTCCTCTGGGCAGGGTGAGGAGGCTGTCCTCCGGGCAGGGTGTGGAGGCTCTGTCCTCCGGGCAGGGTGTGGAGGCTGTCCCTGGGCAGGGTGAGGAGGCTGTCCTCTGGGCAGGGTGTGGAGGCTGTCCCCAGGCAGGGTGTGGAGGCTGTCCCCAGGCAGGGTGTGGAGGCTGTCCTCCGGCTCCTGTGGGCAGCCCTCCAGAGGACAAAACCTGGGTCCGAATGGGCCTCAGCCTTCCACTAACAATCACAAATGCCCTTGCTTTGCAGGGCAGTGAGGAGGACTTCTCCCTGCGTTCACCCACCAGTGTGCAACAGCATCAGGGGGTTAGGATGGGATTTGGTCTCCAGGTCTCCATCCTCCTGAGTGGGGTCAGCGCCCTGTTAGAAGGGGAGCCATCTTTGAGCGGTCAGTAGCCTCATCAGACCCCAGTGTGCTCTTGTCTTGATTTGGACTTCTCAGCCCTGAGAACTGGAAGCAATGACTTTCTTGTTTATAAATTACCAGAGTAGCCGGGCACCAATGGCTCACGCTTGTCATCCTAGCTACTCAGGAGGCTGAGATCTGAGGATCATGGTTCAAAGCCAGCCGGGGCAGGAAAGTCTATGAGACTCTTATCTCCAATAAACCACCAGAAAATTGGAAGTGGAACTGTGGCGTACAATGGTAGAGCACTGGCCTTGAACAAAAAAGCTCAAGAACGGTGCCCAGGCCCTGAGTTCAAGCCCCATGACTGACAAGAATAAATACGTAAATATAACTAAAAGCAAATAAATAAATTACCAGAGTAAGGTATTTTGTGACAGCATCCTAAATTGACTGGGACAACTTCCTTCTTACAGTGAATCCTGGGAATTCCATTAGGGTGTCGGCCCTTAGACTGGAAAGTTGGGTTTCTTCATCAATTCAGCTCAACAGAGGCAGCATACAAGAGGGGTTTAAAAGATGAGTACAGGTTCAACCATCCAGTTACCACGGGGCTGGCGTGGCTGAGCCCCCCCTCACCCAGTGCCTCAGGTAGCGGGATTGCAAAGTCAATGGGCACCTGCTATAGGAGAGGCAAGAGCCAAGTTCCTAGAACATTCTACCGATCACCCAAAGAACAAATCCAGGAAAGAAATAACAAGCAGAAGACGTGGAGCAAATGTTTCATTGGTCATGATGATCAAAAGATGATAGTTCACACACATACACGGAGACCTCACCCCACCTGCTGCAGGGCAGGCCTCCAGGGTTTTGTACCCCATAGCCGGGCCCAGGCTACGGGCCTCCGCCAGGACCCTGCCCTTCACTCTGCACGTGTGCTCTGGCTCTCTTCCTCCCTCCACCTGGAACCTGAAGGCTGGACGTCCAGGCAGGGCCGAGGCCACTGGCTGCAACTGCGGTGGTTGTGCTTCCAGTTGCAAAGTTCCAGATCTTCTCTCCACCTCCCTCTCCCCAACGCTCTCCTGTCCCCTCTCCCACCCAGTCATTGTTCCCCAGAAACAAATAGGATGGCTTCACTGGTCAATTCTTTACATGTACAAACACCAAAAGCAGAGGAAACACCCCTTGGCCACCCCCCTCCCCCCCAAACCCCAGTGCTGGGCGAGCAGCCTGCAGGGAGGCTGCTCGGAACCGGAGCTGCGGGAGCTGTCCGGCTGTGCGGGAGACGTCTTCGGCCTCTGGGCTTTACCTGGAGGCCTCTTCCTTCAGCTCCTTGTTCTTCCGCACCTCCTCCGCGTGCTTGTCCTGAGAAGGAAGGGGGAGACAAAGGCAGGTCACTGGAGGCTGCCCGGGGACCAAGGGAGGCCGAGGGACAAGGAGAGGGTGGCCACGGCAGGAAGAGCAGAGCTGTTGGCGACCTGAGAGCGGCAGAAGGTGGCAGGTGAGACAGTGCACAGGTAAGGGACCTGCCCGAGGGGCACAGAGCACCCACAGATCTGTGAGTCTCAACCTCCTGGAGGGGACCCCAGGGCCCCAGCCTCTTTCTCCCTCTTTGGGCCAGGCTGGCGCTGGGGCTGGCCATGTGCTTTGACTCCCGGGACCCGCTTGCTGGAAGATCCGCCCTGCTGCCCTCCTATGCTTACGTCCCCACCGCCAGCACCCCCAGCGCATGGCCTTGATGCTCCCCTTTTATTTCCAGTTCATCTCCTTCGGGAAGGTTGCCCTAACCCCCTGGCTCTCAAAGTGCACACTGTGACAGAACAGACTTTGGAAAAAAGTTGCCCGACTTCCAAAGAGTAGACTTTCCCTGCACCCACTGAAAGAGAACCTTCATTGTTTCACACGGGCTGAGCAACTTCCCCGCCTAGCCCGGCTTCTTCAGAGAGGGGCTTTGGATGGGCCCTTCTGCCATTTCACCCATCTTTCAAGCTGGGCCAGGGTGTGTCACACACTGCCCACTGGTTGGTATCAGGAAGGCCATGTCTGATCTTTGTCTTTCCAGTTCCTACAACCATCCCCGGCACCTGACACCTCCTCAGCCAACAATCCTGTCACCACATTTGGGTCTCCACCTAGAATAGAACCAAGGAGGCAGACCAGAATACACCTGAACCTAAAACTCTATTCCTCCAGAGGCTCTAGAACTTTCCATGGGACTGGAAGTCGGGTGGGTGTGCCTGGAGCAGTAGCTGCCGGGCTCAGCTGTCACATGACTTGGGGAGCCCAGCTGACCCTCAGGTACCGCCCCGCAACAGACAGGCAGTAGGTGTAGGGTGGGGTCCAGGAGTCTGCATTTTAAACTTTCTACCAGGTACAGGTGGTCAGGGAACCACACAAGGACTAGCATTGCTAAGATGCCACTCTCCCAGGACAGAGGAACGGGGGGCAGGGTGGGGGACAAACCACACAGCTCTCACCCATGGCTTCCTCCTGGGAGAAATCAAGATGGCAGGGAAAGGAACCCGCACCAATGCCTGATCTGACAGCTCGGATCTCAGTCTCCCACACCTCTACAGATGTTCCTCCAGGCTTGATCTTTGCAACTTCTCCACCTCAGACTTTGCCTGTGGGTTCAGGTGAGCCCTAGGGCTCTGCCTGCCCTTGCCCCCGTCCTTGACCGCCAAAGACCCCCAGACTGACAGAAGGCTAATGGGACCACGGTGAGCATCTTCCCAGGACAGGCGGAGGAAGGTGCTGGTCCCAGTCCTCCTTCGTGGCCACTGTGTGATGGTAGGCATGTCATCTGACTTCAGACATGGCTTCCTCAACTGCAACCTTGCTTCTGTCAGGGACTCGTGAGGCCCGCAGCATGGAGAGCTAAACGGGTTTGGTAGAATCTTGCAAATGCCATCCACGGTCTAGCCTCAATCGTTTGTTCTGGGTTTGATCTTTGAGCCCATCGGATTGGTTTATCTCCAAGAGTTTGCCTTCCATCATTCCTCATTCATGGAGGAAGCTGGAAGTCAGACCCAGACTGTGTCCCTCCCAAGTGCCCCTTGCTGGAGGCTCAGCTGCCTCTTGTTGACGAGGCGAGGGTCATGCTGGCCAGCAGAGGGCCGGTGCCCAGGCATGGTGCACCTCCCTGGTGAAGAAACCAGAGCTCGCTAGCGGTTGCTGCCAAGGGACCTGAGATTCTAAGTGGATGGGCAGGAGGGGAACCACGCTGCTCACCATGGGACGAGGCCACCGATCGGGTCCCGGGAGTCACCGCGCAGCAGGCGGTTCCTGGAAATAAAACACAGAGCTGGAGCTTCCCAGGAGCCGCAGGAGAGACTGGGGAGGCCTTGAGACTTGGGAGCCAAGGCCAGGAGGTCCTCCACATTCTGCTAACATGGGGGTCGGGGGAGCACCAAGGGATTTGCTGACAGAAGCCAGCCCATAGAAAGCCCTACCCCTTGCTCAGTCTGTGTCAAGAGCGCCATGTTTCCTGCTCCATAAGCAGCTCAGCTTCTCATGCCCCCTCGGCTTAGAGCCAAGGATCTAAATCAGCATCTTTCATTAAATCCAGTCAGTCCGGTCTAGGGTGAAGCCAGGAATGTGTCTGTGCTGTGTGTCTAGCTCTACTCCCTGACATTGTCCAGGCTTTCTCTAGAAAAGGACAATGAGGAATTGCAGGTGTGTATCTATGCTGAAAATTCCCCCAAGGAAATCCAGGCTTGGTTTGTTTTTCTTGCCTATGACTTCCCAAATTGTCCCCTTGGAACTCTAAGGCTTCTTCTTGCCCGACAGAAACAAATCGCATTCCTGCACAAGGCTGATTCCTCCTGAAGTGAAATGGAGGTCCATGTACACGTGCCAAGGAAGGAAGACAGGTCCCCTCCTCGGTCCAGGATCACTTACCTTCTCTTGCAGCCGTTCCAACATGGCGGCCAGGTGGGCCTCCCGATTCTCTTTATTGGATTCCATCTTCTGGGCCAGTTTTTCCTTAGCCATCTTGATGAAGTTGTTGTTTTCTTCGATGGCTTTTTGGATCACTTCTCGCTCGTGTTCTCGTTTCTCTGCTAGGTGCTTCAGGAGCTCAGCTTCCTGGTACTGCATAGCACAAAGATGCAAAAGGGCCCCTCATTCAGGGCAAGCCCAATGAGGTCTCCGCGGCCACCTCCTCACGGAGAACACAAGAACCTACAAGGACACTTCCCGGACCCTGCCACTACCGGCAAGCTTGCCGCATTCCTTGCTGCCCTTTTGTAAGTATCTCCAGAGAGGTTCTCCTCATTACTATCATTCGTTCATTTCACTCACTCACAAACACTCACTGAGCATATACCTAACACTATTCTAGCCACCTGGGAAGGTTCAAACAAAAAGCCTAGTCGAGATGTCTTTTTCTATAACAAATGCATACTGACATGTAGTGGCAGTTCACCCTTTCCCAGTGAAGGAAACCTTCCCTTAAGTCCTAAGTTGTTTTCAAGATCTTAACGCTGGTCACCATGCCTATCAGGTCACCTCTAGAAGCACGTGGCTCCTTGTCTCCTGCCAACCAGTTAACTCTCAGGGGACAGGGCCTTGTACTTTTTCTTTATTTGCAATGGTGAAGCAGGCTCTGCCCGGCATGTGGCAGGCGGATGGATGGTGACCTGACACAGGCGTGCAGGGAAGAGTAAAAGGGCACCGCTGACCTTCCTTCGCTCCTCAGCTGCTTCTAGTTTCTTCTGGATCTCTTCCAGGGAGGGGTCTCGCCGCCGGGGTAGGGAGGCATTGAACTCGGGCACCCCATCAAAGGAAGGTGGTTTCAGGATAACTTCGAAGGACTGGCCTGAGGTACACTTGTTCAGCTCGATGACCTCCATGTCAGAAATGACGCACCAGTTCAGGTCCACTGTGTCTGCTGGGGAGGACAGGGGGGGCTGCTCACCCGCCAGAATCCCTGGGGTCCCACAAGCCATGCACATATGCACACACAGACACAGGACAGCGGGGTCCCTACGGCACAACCACCGCCAGGAGACTGGCTCTGTCCTTAACCCTGGTCTCTAAGGTCTGTGAGTCCTGACTGGGCTCAAGGAATAGCCACAGTGAGATTTGAGGTGCCCCCGGAAGCACCCCCAGATACGCGATTTCCTCAGCTGCTTTTGCTCTGCCTCGGCCATCAGCTCCTCCAAGGTTCGAGCTCTTGCTCAGTGATCCTTGCTGCCAACAGGCAGTGGGGACTCTACCCATCGCCCACCCCTGCTCCCCCCACGTCCCGCTGGCCCTCTGGCGGTTTGGTCTCTGCACCCTACCCCTGACTCCCTCCTACCCTGTTCTCTTCTTTCTCTCCAGTCAGCACTGTCTTTCCGCTGGCTTTGACCTTTCCTCCTACACTGTCTCCCACACCAGCCTAAACAGAGAAAACAACCTCAGGTCATCCACACCTCCCTCTCTCATTGTCAGATCAAACCCAGCCCTTCCTTTGAACCAGGAAATCGGGAGGTGACCTGCTTCCTAGCTCCCCCTCCCCAACCCCCATGAGGACTTGCTCCATCCCATAGATGCAAGGCTGTCATGGCCCGGGCAGGAAGTCTTCACCCACCACCAGACTCTCAGAGCATCTCTCCCTTCCCTAGGAGACCAGCCAGCCTCGTCTCTCTTTGCCTATGCCCCCTGAGGGCAGATTTGTGTTCTGTTTCTTCTTGTGCCTTCCATGGCATGGATTTGTTCTAGGAATGAAGAAAGCCCACACAAAAGCAAGTGCTCTGGGGGTGAGGGGCCCTCGTGTACACCACAGTTGCTGCCTAGTGCCCCAGGTCACATTCTGCAGCCCTGAACCCCTCAGGCTCTGGAAAAACTTGCCATGGCCAGCGGTTTCATGAAATGGAGATCAGGCTGCTACACCCACATACACAGGACATGAGAACCTCCAGCCTCTTCCCCTCCCAACGGAGCCCTCACTGACCTTCGTATTTATAGGATGACTTGTTCAGGGGGTCTGCCAGGAAGCAGGAGCAGAACAGGGACACCAGCGGGAGCTCCTTCATCTTCTCTTTGTAGGCTGCAAAACAGAGGCAGGTGAAGACAGGAGTCAGCCCGAGTTCTGGTTCCACAGAGGTGCCAACACGCCCGGAGCCAGTGCTCATGCCAGTGATTCTCACCCACATCCATCCCTGTGGAAAGCCGAGCCTGGCAGAGCCACCGCAAGACCCCATCTTTCCCCCCTGCTAGCACCAAATGAATGCAAAGGGGCCTTGCATACAGACCCCAGGCCCTACTGCCCCCACGACCTTGCTGTCTGCCACCCTCCCCCCCCCCCCCCATCCAGGATGTCCAGCTCTTTGGCTCTAGGATGCCTTGTGCTGAATGTTCTTGGTAGGGCTGCTGAGGGTCACAGAGCTGACTGGCAGGCATGGGGCAAACCTTACCACCACCCCTCTGCTTTGTACCCTCGCTGGGAATGAGTAAGGCTGTGAACCTTCCTAGACCTTCCCAGCACAGGGTCAAAGCCAGGTGTCCAGTGCCCATGACAGCAGGAGTGTGTCCCCTAAACTGTTGAGTCTCTCTGGGTCTTCAGATCACAGGTCAGAGCTGGCCTATCGGGGTGGTTCCTCATTTGATAGACAGACACAGATAGTAGATAGATAGATAGATAGATAGATAGATAGATAGATAGATAGATAGATAGATAGATAGATAGATAGATAGATAGATAGATAGATAGATAGATATGGGAGCAAAAGGAAGAAAAGCTCAGCTATGATCCTACCCACCACCCAGCAATGACCTGTCTGTACCCCTCCCTGGGCACACTTCCTGTGTGTCCTTTGTCTCTGCATGTCCATCCATGCACTGTACTTGGGAAATAGCATGACCATGTGGCAGATGTACCTACCTGCGAGGGTCATGTTTGCTGAGATCTGGTGTCTGAATCTGACTGAAGATCGCAAGAGATGTCTACCGCCAGCTCACGGCACTGGGCCAAGTCTAAGAGAAAGAGAATTATTTTACCTCTGACAGGTTATTCTCTTCAGGCGGGTTTTTATGCAACTTGCAGCGGAATTCTCAGGGACGCTGTACCTGCTCTGGCCTCCAGGCTCTCTCCCCTACAGCTCCCATTTCCTTGAGATAACCACCACCTTCCACACAAGCCCCACCAAGCTCAGCACTAGTGTTTATTTCATCTGGGCTTTCCTGCCTTAAAAGCCTGGGACAGCACAGTGGCCCCGATCAAGCTTAGAGTGAGGGTAAGAGGCAAGCTCTTTCCAGGACTCTCCTGCAGGTGTTTGCAATTAACTATGGGCCTGAAACCCCATCCCCCACCCCTCCCCACTCCCCTACCACCTGATACACCGCAGACCTCCCTTCAGCAAGTCTGGCATGGGATGAGGGGGAGTTGAACAAGGGGAAAGCACTCTGGTAGGCCAGGTCCCCACTGGCTGGAGGTTGCTAGGGAGAGAGGTTCCAGCTCTGGCGTGGGGGTGGAGTCCTCTGCAGACTCATCTCTAGCTGCCACAAGTCATTTCACACGGCCCAGCTTTGCTTTCCCCATCTTAATTAAGCCAACATCAGGACACAGGAAATGCTTAATTCATGTGAGCTTCCTTCTCCCTGCCCTTTGCATTAGGACGGTGCTCACCAGCCCTGGAGTAAGGGTGATTGCATTTGCAGACAAGGGGATTGAGGCTTCCAGGGTATTTGTGACCAGAGAGTAAGAAAGCAAGGATATGAACCAAGTGGCCCCTAAATGACTCTATTCTCCTTGTTTTCCTGGTCATGCTCTGAGCCCCAACCCAGATCCTCCCATGGGAGTACAATGGGCCTTGTCTCCGTGGTGTCAGGCTGGTCCTGATGGTACCAGCAAGTCCCCGCCAAGGGAGGCAGACAGGGGCTGGATACCAAGTCCCCTTCATGAGACTATACTTGGGTCAAGAGGATTGAAAGGCCAGTGGGTGGAGGGAGGAAGCCCATGCCAGGACAGGAGAAGCTCTGGGTGGGATGAGAAGGGGAACCCCAGACAGGTGGCAGAGCAAGTTTAGGAATGCAGAGACGGTTAGAACATCAGAAAAGGAAGACAAGGGCAGGAAGCAGGAGGCATAGCCGAGGTTGTAGGGTATGCGTGAGCCAGGATGCCCCCATTTTCTAGCCAGTGAGGCTCTCGGTGGCATTGCTGGGTCCTTCAGTACAGGTGGGATAGCATGCACTCACATTCTAACCCTTACAACTTACGGATGTGAACGGGGCTTTATTTGGGGAAAGCATCTTTGCAAGTTTAATTAAGGACCTCAACTTGAGCTCCTCCCTGATTATCCAAAAGGGACTTAAATTGCATGACAAGTCTTTCTTAGTCACACACACACACACACACACACACACACACACACACACACAGGAAAAAGGAGACAGGCATATGGGAGATATAGTCAGAGAATGGAGTGCCCAAGGATACTGGAAATGGAAAGAGGCAGGGAAGGATCCCCCCCACCCTCAAGGGTTTAAACAAATATGGCCCATTGACACCTTGTATTTTTGGACTTGTGGCCACCTGCTTTGTGACAAGGTATTTGGCAGAAAAACAATGCACTCCATAAGTGATAAAAATCCAGGATCCAAACTCATGGCGTTTCCACACAATCCCCCAACACTATGATCTGAGTTTTCTTCAAGGTAATTTGTATAACAAGGCCATATGCACAGGGGACCCCTAAAATGTCTTACAGCACCAGTCAGGCACTCACCACCAATGGAACAGAGAAACGACACGGGAGATACATGGTAGAGAGCAGCAAAGCATTCTGGGCCCTTAAGCCATTGTGGGTGGAGCCATGTCTGGGAACCTGGCTCTACTCCTAATTCACCACAGTCCCAGCATTTGGTGGGAGCAAGCACACGGCCTCTGCTGTGACTCTAAGTTACCTTGTGGAGGCTGGTGAGTGGAGGCCATGATCCTGTTGTCATGCCACAGCAACACACAACCTGCAACTGAGTGGAGACCATTGGGTCCAGCCTGGTCCAACATCTAAGCGTCTGTCACCACGCTTTCTCACTGATGGACTGAACTAGCATAATTGATAAAGTAACATCATGAGCGATAACCCCACCAAGCACAGAGCCAATGGAGAAAAGTAAGCTCAGATTGGAAGCAGTCATGGTTCATGGTAAATATGTAAAGCCAAGGCTGCTAACTGAAGATACAGCCCATGGCAGGATGCGGAGAAGGAAAAAGATGGCTAAAGCAAAGAAATTGAGCACTCGTTTCTCTAGAACAACACCATGTCAGAGAAGAAAACAGGCAATCATAAGCAAGCCATTGGCTCTCCATGAGGAAAAGTCTCTTTCCTGGGAGATGGGTCAGGCTTGTGGATGACCACTAGACAGCAAGCCACAGGCGTTGGACAGGCCAAGTGCCCTATGGCATCCTCCGCCCTCTGCTATCAGGGATAGTTATTTTTTCCTGGATGCTAATATACTCCTCACTAGGGACCAGAAACCTTGAGATCATGTAGTGTGTTTGTTAGCAGAGAAAGGGCCAGAACCTCTGACTCCAGGTTCCAGTGGTGGTGCTTTTGTTCTTATTCAGTACTCTTCTCCCTGCCCCTAGAAACAGCCTAGATAGGAGACAGCCCATGTGGGGGATCCCCAGAGAAGCTTCCAGGGAAAAGATGAACACTCTGCAGGGACCCCCTGACAGTCAGAATCAGGACCTGCTCCCAAGGCTTTTCTACCGTGCAGTTAGTGGCAGGGCAGAGAGAGGCCACACCACGCTCTTCATGGCCACTTAGCATGTGCTTGTCCCTGGTGGCCCACCAGGCAGAGTGAGCGCGAGTTTCTTCGTTGCCTTGAGACATGCCCAGGTACCTCTCTCGAAATGTGTCAGATTTCGAGTGGACTATTTCTGAGAGATGAGCAGTGAATGCGTGCGCAGCGGCTTGAATAGAGTTGTCCCTGGCAAGCATTCTAGAAGACAAATATAGGAACTCTGGCACAGAATCAGGATGGGTACCTCATGGGTGTGGGAGTGATGAATTCTGAGCCAGGTCCTCTCTTCACAGCTCTACAGCAAGGCAGCTCTTTGGGCTTTGCACTATCATCACTCTTCTTAAGAGTCCAGGTCAAACTTTGTGTTTACCTAAAATTAGCTACCTAAGAGGCTGACCTCAGTGTCACATTTCTCCACTTTGGGTGGAGCCACGTCGTCTCAGAACAGAAGCCCTATTTATTCTGTGCCAATCAGAGACTCTCACTGGCAACTTATGTCTTATTTGAGTTTCAAATTAAAAGAAGATGAATTATTTGTTCATGTGTGTGGATCTTTGTTGCTGTTGTTGCTTTTGGGGCTTGAACTCAGGGCCTAGGCACTGTCCCCCTGAGCTCTTTTGCTCAAGGTTAGCACTCTACCACTTTGAGAGGCCCCACTACCAATTTTTGAGTGGTTACTCCAATTAAGAATCTTACAGAGCCTGGTGCCGGTGGCTCATGCCTGTAATCCTAGTTACTTAGGAGGCTGAGATCTGAGGTTCACGATTCAAAGCCAGCCTGGAAAGGAAAGTCCTAGACACTCTTATCGCCAATTAACTATCAGAAAACCAGAGGTGGTGCTGTGGCTTAAGTGGAAGAGCGCTCACCTTGAGCTCATAAGCTCAGGGACAGCACCCAAGCCCTGAGTTCAGCCCTATGACTGAACAAAAAAAAAAAAAAAACAGTCTCACGGAGACTTTTCTGCCCCAGCTGGCTTCCAACTGTGATCCTCAGATCTCAGCCTCCTGAGTAGCTAAGATTCCAGGTGTCAGCCATTGGTGCCTGGCTGGATCAATCTCTTCATAATATGTATTCACTTATTTATCAGTGGCACTAGGTTTGGACTCAGATCTTTGTGCTTGCCAGGCAGGTATTGTACCACTTGAGCCATACCTCCAGCTCTTTTTGCTTTAGTTGTTTCTCAGATAGAATCCCATGTGTTTCTCCATGGCCAGCTTTGGACAATGATCCTTCTACCCAGGTCTCCTGAGTAGTGGGTAGCTCAAGTGTGTGTCGCCACCATTAGTTTTTGAGACAGGGGTCTCATTAA